CCCCTGTTTACAACTGTTCTCCAGACTGCAGAGATCAGTTCCCCTGGAGAAAAAGGATGCTTTGGAGGGTATTATACCCCACTGAGTTCCTTCCCAAACCCTCCCCACCACAAGCTCCAGCTAGGGATGCCAGCCTCCAGGTGGGACCTGGGGATCCCCCAGAATTACAGCTCATCTCCAGACTACAGAAATCAGTTCCCCTGGAGAAAATGGATGCTTGGGAGGGTAGACTCTATGGCATCAAACCCCACTGAGTTCCCTGTCTTCCCCAGGCTCCATCTCTAAATATCCAGGAGTTTCCCTACCTATATCAAGGTTGCTACTATGTAGAACAGGTCCTTGAGAGGTGCACTTTCAAGCTTAGGAGACCTGGCCCATAAAGAAACTGAACAACATTGTCTTGTAAAGAAATTGGAATGAGACTTTCTATTGTGGCTCTTTGTTCCTGAGGAAGGACCAGAAGTCTGAAACACTGTATACTACCTAGGAAAAGTGTTGGATATCTACTTTGGACTTGATGCATTCTGTAGACTTCTGTATTTCCTATGATGGATTTTATGTACAGATTTGTTGCTGATTACATATGTGTTTCACTTTGCTGAAGTCTCTTTTTGTACATTTACTGTTGCGGGTATTTCAGCACACAGTTGTTTTGCTGTTACTTGCCAACCCTGGATGACACAGCCACCTGTTAGAGATCCCTGGACTCATCACTGGCATGTGAGTGAATAAACAACACTTAGCTCAGACTGGACTCAATCATTCCTCTGTGCGCAGTATAATCTCGTCATACAGCTTCCCCCATCAAAACCCATCCAATAATCTCATCAGAGGAAAGGAAGAAATGTCTATTTCCACTTCCTTAAATGACCTAAATAGATCAGTCCACAATAATGGGTTTGCAGACCAGGCTGGGATGCTCTGAACCGTCCAGGCTCTGCTAAAGCGCACCCTCCCCCCCCCCCCCCCCGCCACCCTCCTATTGCTTGGACACCAGCCAGGTCAACTGCTGCTGTCAGAGTTTGAGACCTCAATTTCCTGTGCAAACTCTACCCCATAACACTGCCCCAGATATAAAAATTAATGCAGCCAAAATTGATTGTCCCTAGGGCCGCAGAACGCCTCAGCGTTTGGAAAGCTTTAAGTACAAATATTTAAACTGCACAGCAATCCAAGTGTCCAGCACAGATAATGTACGACGGGTTGAGAAAACATTACAAATATAAGCCTTACATCTATGACTCAGATAGATGTAAAATTTCCAGTACATTTAAAAATAGCTTTAACTTGGTGAACTTTGTTAGACTGCTCTTATTCCGAAGATTTGTTCATTATTTTTTTTAGAAAAAAATTACTGATTCTTGCCAATGTCCTCTTTAGAAATGATGCAAATGGGTAAACAGCATTTCTTTGCTTTTGCTCTGTTACTAAGTCAAGAAAATATTGGTGCATTTTTTCCTGGGCTGAAACTGTGGACTCAAAATGCCCATAGAATCCATAAGCTTACACAGGATAGCTTACACAGGATAGCTTACCTGCTATCTCAGATAGCCTATACCCCAAATGTGCTTTAACCAAACCACAGTTGTCTCTGCCTGTTTTTCCCCTCTGCCTGTTCCACACTCGGTCCACCTGTTTCTTCTTCTCACACAGCGTTATATTATTTACCTGAAAGGAAGACAGGTGGTGGTGGGGTTTTCTCCATGTGTGACTTCAAGAAAATAGGGGGCTATCTTAATTCAGTATACAAGTTACCGTTTATGTACAGTAAAATAAAAGATATTTTGTATACAATGATTTTTTATGGGCATTCTCTCACATTCAGAGACATCTTGGGTAAATACTGTGCTATATTTATTGTATATATCCATGTATGTAATGGAACAGTCTGCTCCTCCCCTAATATCTGTGTGATTCAGTTCGGTCCTATTGGGTGGAGCTCTTGTTTCAGTTTCCAGTTTTGTATGTTAGCTGAAGTTGTTGGTTGTTGTCTCCTTGCAAATAAATGGCTGATGTTTTGAGCCAGCTTGTCTCTGCTGAATGGACCTGAGAACAGGTGCCTGAGTGAGTACTCTAACTTGGGAACCCACAGCAAAACGGGGACATTACAAATATGGTACATCTGTCTGGGTAAATATGGTATATCTGATCCCTCCCCTCAGCTAGGATGGGAGAGCTTATCTTAGGGTTGCCAGCTCCTGGTTGGGAAATACCTGGAGATTCGGGGGGTGGAGTCTGAGGAGGATAGGGTTTGGGGAAGGGGGACTTCAGCCATAGAGTCCACCTTCCCAAATGTCCATTTTCTCCAGATGAATCAATCTTTATTGCCTGGAGATCAGTTGTAATCCCAGGAGATCTCCAGACACCACCTGGAGGTTGGCAACCCTACCGTCCTCCTCCAAGTTCTGGTCAATTAGGGGACCATCTTTCTCTTTTCTTGGTATTTTTGCATGTGTGGGTGTTGGTGTGGCCGCACCTGGAAGTCATGGAAACCTCTGACAACTCCTACTGGAGCATGGAGGACATTCGGGTGGATGTGTAATATGATCATGGAGTTGCCATCTGATGTGTACAACATGCAGGGGAGGAGCCGTGGCTCAGTGGCAGACAGGGACACAGAAGGTCCCAGGTTCAATCTCCAGCACCACCAGCTAAGGTGACCTGTGCCTAAGACCCTGGGGACCTGATACCATAGACAATACTGATCTTGATGGCCCAGTATTAGGCAGCTTCGTGCATAATCTTATTTTATTTTATTAGGTCAACGGTCCTGGACCCACTACCTATGTTACTTCAGGCTGTGCTTGCTCCCAGTCATTGGACATTAAACCCATAACATTACAATCAGGCAGCTTCAATAAGCACTCAAAAGGAGGGCTGCATCATGACTTTTGTGGGCCCTAGGCACTTTTGCCTTTGTGGGCCCCCCCTACCATAATAACATCAATATTAAAATTATTTCTGATATAACTTTAAATACTTCAACATTTTTTCCTGTTTTAGGCAAAATCTGATAGATTTTCGTGGGCCCTCAAATTTCATTCTTTTTTGATGTGAGGGAAAAAAAAGATGTTTTCTTTGACCCTAAAAGTTCATTCCCCCCCCCCTTCAGATTAAAAAAAAAATTAAAACATTTCCGTGGACCTCTAAAAGTATTGTGGGCCCTAGGCACTGCGCCTACTGTGTTTAATGGATAAGTCGGCCCTGCTCAGAAGGTGGAAAAATTCAGTGGAAAGAAAACAACAGTTGGTAATCAATCTATAGAATACATGAACTCAGTGAAATAAATAAATAAATAAATAAATAAATAAATAAATAAATCCAACATTCACGCAGTTGTGTGACGTAAAAAAAACACCTGCACATACTGCATGTATTTTGTTTACTGAGTTGCAGCATTTAGGTTAATACTAGTGCATGGAAAC